AGACCAACCTTTCAGGAGATCGCATTTCTAGGGTGAATCCTATATTCCTATGGTGTTTGTTAAGTTGGCCCAAGTGGGAAGAGGAAAAGTCGACCACGCCGATGTCGTCTATATAGCGGCGATATACTACAATTTTTTTATGTGACCATCCAATACTTCAGTTTCCAACTTCACTAGAGATAAATCGACCAAAAGGGGACCTAAATGAGATCCCATCGGAATCCTGTACTTCTGGTTGTACGTCACTCCATTGAACTGGAACTCTACGTTATACGTGCATAAGTAAATTAGATCACCAGGGTCCTCACAGTGTAAATCGATATTCATACCTCTGCTTTTACTCTGGTTGCATAGGTAGACTATGGTTTCTCCAATAGGTACGTTGTTGAATGGAGAGGCCACATTCAGAGAAAACATGTGCTTTTCTGAAACGTCCAGTGCTTCAACAGTGTCCACAAATTCAAAGGTATCCATTAGACTGTATTTCGACAGTTCCCTTCTGACGGGCTTCAAGGTTTCAGCTAACAATATCGCTATTCCATGGTGAGGTGAAATGTAAATGTCAAGTTTTGGGCGCATCGGTAATTTTTGTTCGTGTAGTTTTGGTAGACTGTAGAGTCGCGGTGTGTGTACCCACTGGTATTATTCTTTCGAAAGTGATGAAGCTTATTAACAAGTCTTGTTTCCGTTTCCTAACGGTTCTAGACAGTCCTTTCTCGATAGCAGCCGTTCTGTCCTTTTTCCCCATCATTCTTTGTAAACTTAGTCGTGTCTCGTAACAAAAGATCCATTTTTTCACATAGTCAGTTCGGTCAAGAATGACAATCCCCGAGGCTTTACCTGGTCTCAGAAGAATATATTTGTTTATCTGAAGTCTGATCAAGCGTTCAAGATGTTCCTTAGAGAGTAGTCTTCTACGCTCAGTCGGATGAGTTAGGTTTTGGTAACTTTTCTTGACCAGCCGTGTTTTCAACTCTCTAGTATCCGATGCAGGCAACAAATCCGAAAGTTGACTGTAACGATTTTCAAATTGTAGCTCTAAATCTAATTTTTCGGTTGGGATAGCAAAAATTGGGTCCTAACGATAGAACTTCAACAACCACCTTACCAAACGTAAAGTTGTTTACCTACCGCTCTGGATCTCTGGGACATTGTCCGTCCTCGATTTTCGTGGTGGTCTGCCGGCAAAATTTCCCCTCATTATTATGTTGCTTCCATTCCATCTGCTGTACGTAGGAAACCAGACGCTTCCTCTCCCTGCAAATTGTCCAGCCATTCTGCAGCAGCTATACATTTCTTTTCTAAATCCTGTGTGCGGTTCATCCACGTGCCTTTTCATCCCGCGCATGGCGACGCAACGACGGCTTAGATAGTTCCATATGATTTCGCCGAAGGATTCTCGCGTAATGTTTCGGATGTTCTGATTTACCAATGAAAGCCTCCAGGAAACGAACGCTAGAATTCACCTTCGCCAACTGCGTACGGAACTTGAGAAACCGTTTTTTTTAAATACGGACGGGTCCTTGGTCTGTCTGGGATACTGGACCGGTGGACTGCATCCAGAAGTCAATTTAGCAAACCTCGTTTTTGGTGCATAAACGCTAGAGTGACTTAAAAGTGGTTATCAAATGAGTGTCAAGTCGCTTATGTATTTGATTCATTCGACAGTACAAATGACATTTGCCGAATGATTTAAACACACATACACCCCTTACTGTATTATCGATAATATCCATACAAACTCATATAAACACATGACCGTTTTTGTCTCCTTGAGTTATGTGATTTTGTGATACATAAAGAGTGCTATGTTTGGCTCGTAAATGATGCAACGAAAACGAGGTTGTTTGCCAGATTGACCTCTTGGTACCCTGATCTTTTGGCACAGTCTGAACTCAGGCTTGAAATAAATAATAAACAAGGAATACCAAAGCACAAAGTAATGAAAACAAAAATGGATGTTGTCTTCCTCGGATATGATATCCGATCGTCGAGAATCAGCTTTGGTGGACTGTTCCTCCTACTTAGGTAGGGTAGTAAGGTAGTAACCGCCCGCATTTCCAAGGCAGCGTACGCAGGACTGAAACACCTTTCGTGCCGAAATGTTTTCCTTGAAAGTAGCGTATGATTCGCCAATATATGGTGACTTATGCTTTACGGTCGCGAAATCCTAAATTTGTGCGTGGAAGATACTCATAGGCTAGAAGTCTATGACTGTTGATGTTACCGTGGTTTAGATGGAATGAGTGTGCAAGCAGCTCTGAGGTAAGCCGTTGCGTATTTGACAATGATTCGGTAGAACATTCGTCATCACATAGACTCCAGATCGGTGAGCTTCGCTGGTTAGGACATGCAATGCGCATGCACCGTTGCCGCCTATCAAATTTGCGCCTTATTCGCAGTTACGGCTCTAGGTTGGAGGAAACCACATGGAGGTCAACAGATGACATGGAAACGAGACATGAAGAATTGCACTGAGCGATTAGGCAGAGTAGGTGTCTCACGCCTTTCTGGGTTGAGGTCCGGAACACTGTGCAACTGGCGGGCTGGAGACATGGAAGATTATGGCAACTAGCCGACAGCAGTGGCAGTCTTGTCATTTTTATCAGGTCAGTATGCTTGAAACGCTATAAACACAGTTAGGCAGTGCACTCTGTGTTGATTACAGATACTCACCCTGGTTGCCTCTTTCCAATTAGGCTCAATCCCTATGCATGATGTACGTTCTCACTTACTTTGTGTACATTGCGAGCTCGCTAGAAATCAGCGCAGTTTGCTCTACGATGATAAAGAGATGCACCGTGTATCTTCTCGTTTGCGGGACAGTCCCTATTGATGTGACTGAGTTTTGGTGGAACTGCTCAATCAGACGATGAAGTAGGTTTTTAAGTGATTAACTGTTTTGTCAGTTCGGTAAAGAAACACTAGCTATTATGGCATAATAACGAATGTGAAATAGGGAACATTTGATGGTAAACGTGAAAACTTCTGAAAATCGCTTCCTCACTTTGTGCCACCGTTCAGTCAGAATGCATCTGTGACTGCACTGACATTTCTGTTCACCACAACGGCTAGTAACCGGTACCAAGTAGTTGATTCTAGGTACACTAATATTAACCCACTACCATGTGGAACACATTCCCCTTTTCCCCAGCGTTTAGGACCACCGGTAATTCTGTGTCAAATTAGATCAACATTTCGTGCGATTTTCGCTAGACAGACCCTCATCAAGTGAGACCACTGAAATAAATGAGGATTGAATTGCTATGTACATCTGCAATTTGAATTGAGAAGCCCGTTGTCGGTTATTTTTCGATACACCCTCATCATTAGTATATGCAAGGAGAAAGTGCGATTGTATTCAATATTGCAGTGATGTCAAAAAGCGTGATTAAAGATAATGAGTCCCGTTAAAAACTGTCAGACAATAAAATTAAATCTGAAGAGATGTCAAAGAGAATGACAAAATAGGTCGGACACAGAAGCAAAAAAGCTCTGTTGGTGAATGTGAGCTGGAAAGAAGATAAGGCGAAAGAGGCGAGCTATGTGGAGTCAGAACAGAACAATACAGTAACGGTATGTGAGATGATCAGGACTATGGGGCGACTTGATAGTCGGGTAACCACGAGCGGACCACAATTGTTCAGGTACGGGGGAAAATAAACCGTTTTGTTTTTGAGGCAAACTGTGAACGAAACCGAAAGACCACCCGGATAATAGTTGGAACATTTTGGTTTGTTAACAGTCGTAATCGTCACAAATGAATAAAGGGTATCACGTGATTCAATCTGTGTTAAGGAGAGATAGTATAGTAATAAAAAGATAAAACGAAATGATCATGTTTTCAACATGTGGACAAAGCCTTCTCAGCTTCCAATGTTACAGGTACACCATAGAGTAGGTTGCCATTCACCTACACGACTGAACGATGATGTATACAGGTCAAGAGAACAAGAATTTTACGTCTCCCAGTCATCATCGCTACCACCATTTTCGGAGTTGTGATCGGAATCTGCATCGCTTTCCTCCGCTCCCATATGAGCACGACGCATGTCCAACGCGGTCGCCAAAGATCGTAAGAGATCACAAGTACCGGTAGCGGGGTTACTAGCTGGTGCAGCAGGTGCTGGTGGAACTGGACGTCCGCTGACACCTTCACCCGGAGTTACCTGTTACGAATTTATGATAAATGGAAGAGTTAGGTGGTATGTTTTGATACCAAAATTTAAATTACCGAATAGTTCACACAAGAGAATCTCCTACTGGAAAATTGACAGGTGTAAATATATTGATAGAAACCTCCACCTCTATCACCAATGAGAAGTAACAAAGCTAGCAATTATGATGATATTCTGACGTCGAATGAGCACCGAAATCACACGTAGTGTGATGAGGTGACGGGTTACAACACGATGAATTGATGGCGGGATCAATACTATTGAGAGTTCCGAACATAATCTAATGGATTTCGGAGCGACGTGAACCAACAACGATTATCTTCACCGAATTCTGGAGTACTGACATCGCTTTCGCAGACCCATCATTTCTATATCCCTCGAACTGAAAGAGGTCTTCGACAGCGTCGACCACTGCAAACTCGGGCTGTCTTTCTTTGAAAGGTGTGCCCTTTATACCCCTTTATACTAACAACCGGAATGGAGTCCGAGCATACGGCACTTTCACGAACGAAACTTTGATCTGGAGAATGCGGACAACACTGTACTGCTGAGTGATGATCCAGGTAAATTGCAAGCTTTTCTGTATTGTGGTGCTGAGTGCTAGTGAAGGCGTGTTAAATGCTGCTACAAGACTGAGTTGATCCAGAACCCAGCTTCTCTCTAACTAGAGAAGTAATAAACGCAGTGGACAAGTCTAAAGTGAGGACTCTGATTCATGTAGGTCAACAAACGTGTCTGGCACGCACCATGGAATCCTTAGTGATCGATATTTGCCGCAATTCGGATACTCAAATCCAAGATCCAACTACTGTAAGCCACTTGAGTGCACCAGATTTCTCCTCAAGGTACGTTCTCCGCATATCAGGTGACGACGAAGCCCGTCCCATAGGTTATCGCGGAGAATGTATTGTATTCATTAACGGGGCCGATTCCTCTCTAATCGATTGGATCCCCGTCAATAGTCGTTTACGTGCAATACGTCTCCAGGATTCAATCAGTGTCCGGAAGGGGAGCAACACCAACAAATGTTTTTCATTGTCATAGTCATAAGCACTGACCCATGGCAGTTATGACACCCAAAAGGACGTTTTCTACGATGAACTCACCGATCTCATTCGGATGAGTCGAAGCTCCGACAAAGTTGTACTAACATGTGACTTTAATAGGCAGGCTTGAAATCTGAGCATATCAGAAGCTTGCTTGGGTGCCGTGCAAACGAACGGAGAACGGAAATCGACCTCTTCAGTTCTGCGCATGGCATCATCTGTTCCTATTCAGTACCGAATTCCCACACAGCGCTCGACGGATGGCAACGTGGAGCATCAGTTCAACTAGTACACTAATTCAAATTTATTACACAGCGGAAAGCTACTGTTAGCGTATCTCAGTGCAAAATTGCAGGTCCTATTGGATCACCTGAGTTGAGTTTGATTATGCATTAGTTTTTATTCAGTTCACTCTCCGACTAACTGGCCGGCGGAGAATTCAACAATCTCAGATAGCTCATCATCGACTGTTTGTTTCAGTAGTTCGTCCATCCTACGAGTTAGAGCCAGTGGGTGAGCTAAGCGCACCACAATGTGGTGATGTAAATGAGCAGTGAGTATCTCAAGACCGTCGGGGTTAGTAGTCCTGATGGATAAGAGACAAATCCCTGCCCTCCAAGATAAAAACAAAGTTAAGTGGCATCGACAACGTTAGCTCAGGAAGAGCCTTGAAAAGGACTGTGAGAATTGGTGGGCAACACAAGCTTGCATTCAAGCTCTGAAGGAATGAAAAGCAGCAGGACCAGATGGGGTACTATTTTCAAGATGGAGGGGGGAGGTCGCAACCTCGGAAGTTCTATTGCTACCTCAGTGCGCATCTTTCCAACGGAAGAGCGCATTCCCTCAACTTGGGATAAATTACTGATCGGTATTATTTTCACGAAAAGATCTCGCAACGATTGCGAAAACCATTGCGGGATAATTTTGATTCCAATCGCCACCAAAGTGCTAGCCCCCATAATATTTCGATGCCCGACTCAATTAAGAGAGACCAACATGCGTGAACAACAAGCCGGCATCTGGCCTGGTGGTGGATGTATTGATCGAAGTTTTGCTCCGGGTCATCGAGCTGCGCTACATTCACTGTCGACCAACGATCGCAGTGTTTCTTGACATGAAAACAGCCTTCGATGGGTTTCCCTCTTCAAAAATAAATTGCCCAGAAGTATCTTAAATTACTGAGATCACTGTGCCGACAGACATCCGATCGAGTGAGAGTTCACATCGAACTATGTAGGCCGTTCATCACCAGCAGCGGCGTTCGTCAAGGGTACCTTCTTTCACAGTTACAGTTAAATTTCATCGTAGATGAAGTGCTGAAGAACGCACTAAGTGGTCTGCAAAACGTAGGTATTGAATGGGCAGCTGGAGAAAAGCTGTGCGGTTTGGAATACACGGATGACATCGTCTGTCTGTTCGAACATCTGGAAGACCTGCGAAGCGCACTTGGTGTACTATCAAGTGCTATTGCCACAGTCGGTATGTGCTTTGCACCCTCGCAGTGCAGTGATGCTACATGATTGGGTGTTGCCTACTCACGCTCTGAAACTAAATGGCCAGGAATTAGTTATAATGGATTGCTGTTCATTCTTAGGTAGTCATGTGACCAATGACGACCAATGACATCAAAGGAGATAACCGCCAGCATTTTCAAGGCTCGAGCAGCATACGCAAGACTCAAACATCTTGGGCGTGGACGCGACGTTCCACTGAAGTCGAAAGATTATGTATATCATGCTACCGCTCGTTCAGTCCTACTTTATGGTTGTGAGACCTTGAATTTGCGAGTAGAAGATATTCATTGAGCAGAAGTTTTCGATTATAGGTGTTTACGTAGTTTAGCCCACGTGAGATGGAGCGAACAGGTCAGTCATGTGGGCGTAAGCTGTTGTGTTTGGGAATTTATCAGGGATAAACCTGCTGGCTCATCGAACTCAGATAAGTAGGGTTTGCTGGCTAAGGTATACTTTAGCATGTCCATCTGTCGTCTACCACATCGCCTTATTCGCTATAACCGTTCCGGGCTGGAGGAAACCACATGGAGGTCAACAGATGATGTGGAGATGAGGCATGAAGAAATGAACAGAGCGATTAGGTAGAGTAGGTGTCACGCGCCTTCTAGGTTCGGGTTTGAAAGACTCTGCAACTGCTTGATTGGATAATTTCAAGGATATGGCAAGTAACCGACAGCAGTGGCGTTCTTGTTTTCATTTATTACCAGGCCAGAATGCTTGAAACGGTATGTATACTAAGTTCCATTATGTTCTCTGTATTGATCACAGAGGTTCACCTTAACCCTTCTCAAAAATAGATTCAATGCCTGTCCATCTTACACATCACTAACTTTGTGTGCATTTTGAATTGGACAGCGGTCAGTGAAGTTCGCTTCACGGTATTTCGCTGTACAATGATGATGACAGGTTTTGCTCTTTGGGCAAATGTATATCACTCGGTGCACACATCACGGATGAAGTGTCAGCTAGCATACAGAAGGCTCCTTTCTCATTTGCCAACTTGAGACATCTGTGGCGCCTTTGCGACATCCGGCTATCTGTGAGGGGTCGAGTGTATGCCGCAGTAGTCAGGCCGATTATGCCTTACGATGCAGAAACTCATGTAGTCATTAAGAAAACAGAATAAAAATAAACTGTCGGTGTTTGAACACCGCTGTCTACGCAGTATTGCACGATTCTGGTGGGTGAAGCGGTGGAGCGCTGCCTGAGTCAGGCACAGAGCTTTAGGTAACCGCGGTCGCCCACTGGATTAAGTGGTCGAACTCCATGTATTAAGTTAGTTGGGGAATGTGTTGTATGTCACCGAATAGGTTGCCAAGGTATGCGACATTTGCCGACGGGGATGGCGGAAAAAAACCAAGGGGGTCAAAATAAGATCTGGCACAAAATGAAAACCCTAACCAGAAAACTCGGTCACATGGGTCGCGGTAGACCCTCTGGCAAGGGACCTTCAGATCGTGTTAACCGATGGTTAGCTTCACTGAGTGATATGGCTGAGTGTTGTACACAGTGGTGTTCGTACATCCTCTCACTTTCTGTGTAATCTTAGTTCACTTAAGTTCTCCATATTCTTTTTGATTCTACTTTCAAATTTCCGGTCTTTCTCCTATTGTTCGTCTAAATGGGTCAACAAAAGACAGCAACCAAAGCCGGCGCATGAAATTGCTTGGTTAATGCTTGTAGAAACTGAAAGTGATCAGCAGTAATTATCAAAACAAATAATACATAAAGAGGTTCATTGGAAATTTTGAAGTCCCCAAACCGAGATGTGAAAACTGCACATTCAATAAGGTTCAATTAAGACTTGGAAAGGTGGACGATAAGTTGCAATGTAGTATGAAACTACTAGTGAAAGCATTTTAGTTCGACATACAGAACAACGGATAATGTTGAAATGGTGTAAAATGTCTATTTGGGATTCAGTTATCTGGTATATATTTTGTGTTACAAAGAAGCATCAGGATTACCAATGTAATGATAATACTCACTTTGCGCAGATTAGACTTAGAAAAAGACATAATTTGTGATTGTAAATCCACTCCGATCGCTGGTGCCGGTGGTTTTATACTGGCAGTGGTTTCATTTGCAGTCACCGGAGTACTTGCTGCTGGAGCTGATGGTATGATGGGCGGAGGGGGAGGTATTGATCCTCCACCTGAAGACGGAGCGAGTGTGGGTGGCGGTGGTGGTGGGGGTGGTGGCGGTGGTGGTGGTGGTGGAGGTGGAGGTATTCGACCTCCAGTGCTAGGTAAAGTTGGAGGTGGAGGTACTGGTGGACGTTGACTAGGTACTGGTGGAGGTGGTGGATGCGATGTCGGTGGAGGAGGAGGCATACGACGTGGGGCAGCCGGCGCGGGTCCTCGTGTTGGTTGAACGCCAGATGAGCTTATGGAGTTTCTTTGAAATGTTTGCGCCTGTCTTTGAGCCTAAGAAGCAAAACAAAATTTTGAAAACTATTAATCCTTATGCAGTCGATACCTGTTTCCAAAAACAAAACTCCTGCCGCACAGCTCAACAGGTGATTGAGACTAATATCAGAGAAGAAGCGTTTGTATGATTGTCTGCATATCAACTAACAGTTGTGAGTGGTTGCACTATCCTCTTGGAGAATTCATTACACCATTAATTCACAATCTTGAGAACAACAGCGTGGCGAACAAGCTTGTTTTCGTAATCATTCCATCACATAACATTAAATATGACTAACAACAAGAATAAACAGGGACTGACAGATTCGAGTCCTAATGGTTCAGCTATGGCTCCAACCATGCCTGCATGTGTGTTTGTGTGAAGTTACTCACAGTGTAAAAAGTTCAAGTGATCGTACACGTGTTGGAGTGGATGAAGTGCGTCAGGGGAGG